ATATATATATATATATATATATATATATATACTCTCACACTTTATTTACTTCTATTTTAGAACACTTCATGATTATCTAATAAAAAATAATTAAAATTAAAATAAATATATGGCGGTCGCTCACCGGACAAAAGTGCATCTATGAGTACTGTATCACACACCGGATGCAAAAGTTTACTTCAAGGATGAACAAAGTATGAGTTTGAAGTTTGGCGTTTAAAAAAAACAAAGCAAACTCAAAGAGAAAGTGCAATCTGAAGTCGTTATGTACATTAACAATGATTTGGGACAAATATAATGTAATTTAATGGAAAACTATGTGAATGGCTCTCTGTGGCGAGGCAGGATTTTCTGTCAGCTGCATTTAAATCCGCAACTGAAGTTTCCGCTCTGTGCAGCACGCAGCCTCACGTGTCAAAATAAACAATACGACGTGTCAGTGATTTCTGCCTACACTTCCCAGCAGCATAAAGGGGTCATATGATGTTGCTAAAAAGAACATTATTTAGTGTATTTGGTGTAATGAAATGTGTTTATGCGGTTTAAGGTTCAAAAAACACATTATTTTCCACATACTGTACATTATTGTTTCTCCTCTATGCCCCGCCTTTCTGAAACGCGTAGATTTTTACAAAGCTCATCGGTCTGAAAAGTGAGGTGTGCTCTGATTGGCCAGCTATCCAGTGCGTTGTGATTGGCCGAATACCTCAAGCGTGTTACGGAAATGTTACGCCCCTTGCCATATTGTAATGCCTTGTCCCGGCCTGAGCGATGAGATAAAAACATTAAAACCCAATATAAACGAGGCATTTGTTGCATCCAGTGGGGACATAATTACGGATTATAATGACTTATACTGTCTTTTTACGCGTTGCATTGCATCGCGTAAACATAAAACCATGTCTGCATTTGTGATCGGAGAAATGACAAACTACAAATGCTACTCTACACTCAGATCCCAAGAGCTTGTAACACTCCAAAGAGAAAGGAAAAATTTAAATCGCATCATATGACCCCTTTAAGCAACGGACGCAACCCGGAAAACTATCGGCATGGATTTTTGCAGATAGTCGATAGTTCCGGCAATCAACTATCGGTGCCGATTAATCGGCTAAACCGATTAATCTCCGACCTCTATTCCAAACCTGCTTGCATTTCTTTCTTCTTTTGAACATAAAAGAAGATATTTCAAAGAATATGGGTGACCAAACAGTTAACAGTCCACATTAACTTTCATTGTATGGAAAAAATACTATAAATGTCAGTGGGGACCATCAGCTATTTGGTTACACATATTTTAGGAAATTATTCCCATGTATTTATCAGAAGAATAAATTCATACAGTTTTACAACTCGAGCATGAGTAAATTATGACAATTTTCATTTTTGGCTGAACTATTCCTTTATGGTTATTCAGTAAAAAAAAAAAAAAAAAAAAAAAAAAAAAAAATATATATATATATATATACAGTATATATCTATATCTATATCAAACAACATCTGTACTATTGATAGTTTGACCCAATGAATGACATGCAGTACAGTATTTCCTTATAGTATGTCTTGTTTATCCTGCTGTTTATCAATATTAATGTTGTCTTAGACTTACTTGGTGAATGATAAAACAGGCAAATAAATCCGATGGATTCATATTACAAGAGGGACACTAGCCATATCTAGAGACCTAAATATCATAGAGAAAGGAGTTTGACTTGGGCCAGTAAGCAAACTCACAAAACTCTAGAAAGCACAAATGTTCTGGAAGTCACCCACAAAAGCACTCCCAAAACTACTTCCTGATGTACTGTACTTATCTGTTGTAGACACTGATGGGACATCACCTTATTTTGCAGAACTTGTCACTAAAGGCACGTTTTTCCAATGAGCCTGGGTTGGGCAAAAACCAATGCATCGACCCTATGCATTGCGTAAAGTTAGTCAGCTCTTTCCATTTTTGAGTCCTATATCCAGCAGACAGCTGTAAACAGATTGTGAGTGGGCTGACGTTAAGCCATCTGAGGCTAAAGCTAAGCTAAAAAAGATAAGCAAATGTTTTTTTTAGAATGAATACCCACATTCTGAAGGCAGTTTTTAACTGTCTTTATTCTGAAATTTTGTCATTTATGGTTCCAGTTTTCAGCCTTTAGTCTCCACAAGTACATCAGTGTCTGTTTTATATGATTAACAAGGCAAATTTGTCTCTTTGCTGCATGTCTAAATTCACATGTTGCATTAAATCTGAACATGAATAATCATAGACACTGAAAAGTCACTACACATGAGAACTTTAAACTTCACTTCACTGAACACAACTGTCCTTTGCCTCTATCGCTTCATTCTCAAATCCTCAAAGCCACATTTTCGGCAGAGCCCCTGCTTGCCCTATATATCCAGATTGAGAGAGATTCTGGATTACATGGCTGTCAACTCAGCATTGTTGGCCTGTCTAAAGCTTTATTTTGCAGGTTGAGGCCTCTGGCTGACCTGGCACATGTTCTGTGATCGCTTTCTTTCTGTCTGACCTACAGAAGTGGCATTTTGCAATCGTTTGATGGGCGCAAGGAACAGGGGCTGGAGAGGTCAGGGTCAGACCATGTGACATTGGATGAGTTGACTCTGAAACTCATGACTCAAGACTGCTCTTCTGTCAAAGAACAGCTGCTTCTACTGAAGACACTGCTTCAGGTTAGATACAAACAAATTTTTCCATATGTAACCAGGGATGCACACAAGTTTTTCAGTCTGGTTCTTATGAAAGCACCTGGAGATTTTGTTTGTTCACTACACTGCACTTTAACTAATCGTTTTTGTCTAAGAAAACACTGTAATGCAAATAACCTTTTGTCTACTTAAGTGTAAAGGCCCGTTCACACTAAGAACAATAACTATAAAGATAACTATAAAGAACTATATTAGCGTCCACACCAGCGGATGATATCGTCTGTTTATAAGTGCACGCTCATCTGCCCCTTTGAATTCTCAAGCTCATTATAGCAGGATTGATTCTGATTGGGTGTCAGTGTTTTTATTGTTCATCAGCTGGAAAAAAAAAGCGTTCTTAAAGTGATTCCAACAATATAATTTCTCTGTGCCTTTATTGTTATAGCTGTGGTGTGGACTCTGCTATTAAAACTCTAGAAAGCACAAATGTTCTGGAAGTCACCCACAAAAGCACTCCCAAAACTACTTCCTGATGTACTGTACTTATCTGTTGTAGACACTGATGGGACATCACCTTATGAATGCTCTGAAAAAGATGGCTGGCCAACTCAGAGGAGGAGACGACAGCAGCTCTGGGGCAGGTGTGATCAGTTCTGCCGTAAAAACAGGTGACCTTTTTGTTCATGCATTTTGATGTTTGGTGAAATTGTTGTAAACTGTGTCAGTGCTCATCACAGTGTGTAAAAGCAAGCAACTATATTGTCATATTTTTCAGTTTAGTACTACACTTAGTAGTACAGATCTGGACTAATGGGGTTCAGCATAAAATCTGGTCGATTTTACACCTTTTTTTCTTTGGAAGAGACTGAGAGTTTAAGGCCAGAAAAAACAAAACAATGGAGTACCTTTCAACATACCCACAGTATATATACAATTCATTGCAGTTTCCAGTTGAAATTAGCACAAGTGATAGTAAACCACTGAAGTCATATTTTTCCAATGAGCCTTGAACAGACTGTTAGTGGGCTGGCGTTAAGCCATTGGAGGCTAAAACTAACTTAAAGATAAGCAAATATTTTTTATTTATTTTTCAGAATAAAGACAGTTATTATATATATATATATATATATATA